TCGTCGGGACACCGCGTATTGCTCACGTATAGACGAGACAGTGTGAGTCAAGCGTTTTCTTAGTGTGTGTCACACGTATTTTAGGACGGCATTTCTGTCCAGACGTCTTATAATGCTATTTCTCTCGTTCTTACGTTTGCGATAGAGGATGGAAGATCGCCGCGACTCCCACCACTATTCCCTCTCCAAGCGTCCGACGATCGTATACCGCTAGCTCCCTCCGCCACTCCGTGCTGCTCCTGGCTCACCTACACGCAGCAGTGTATGAGTGACGCGTTATCGTGTGCGAGTCACACGGATATTCGGACGGCATTAACGCCGGTGCGTGTACAACAAGCTGTAAGAGCAACAGCAATTCCGTTGGAACTAAAGGTAAGTTTAATGAAATTATAAATAAAGAAATCTATTAAAATATTCATATTTAAAAAATTTGTTACTTTATTAAAGCGTTATAAATGTATTTTAATGATTTTGTTACTGTTTTGAAGGTTTTAGCTACCTTAAGTTTTCTAAGCTCAGGGTCTTATCAAAGAAGAATTGGACAAGATTTTTTAAGTTCTATGTGTCAAGGATCTGTTAGTAGAATAATTCATGAAATTGTTAATGCATTAAATATCATAATGCCAGAATGGATAAAGTTTCCTAGACATCACGACGAAATTCGGGCTGTCCAACAACAGTAAGTTCGAAATATGTACCAAGTAAAGATAACATTATATTTACGTTATAACTTCTTATTTAATAATATTTTCAACTATTTCATACAGCATGCTATATTGCATTTACATTGATGAGTGGGAAATTATGACGTTGATATAGTATTAAATTCAATTAGTGTTTCAATTGATATGTTGCATTGTGTGATAAAACTAATTATCTTATTTCTGTTATTCTTTGTACAATGAAAAAAGAGAAGAATAATTTAGTAAATATTCTAAAAGTCGAATATATTATATACCTATTGAACTGATATTCTAAACTAATGTATAAAAATATTTAAAAGTTGTAGAAAAAACTATTATGATTTATGTAATATACAAAATTAAAGTATAATAATGTTTTAGGTATTGGATTCATACAAATTTCCAGATATGATAGGAGCAATAGATGGAACACACATAGCGATTTGGCCGCCTGGAAAACATCGAAAACATTTATACATAAACAGGAAGTTATATCATTCACTAAATGTGATGATTGTAAGTAAAAATATTTCATCTGTAGATTATTGACAATTCCGACAATCGCATAGATTGTGATGTTTGGATTTATTTGAATCCAGATACTGTTTAACTTATATAAATGTTAGGTATATTCATATAAATGTTGCATGAGATAGAAATAATTTATTATTTTCTTATTATATACGTATACATATTTTCAACATGCTTCTCTTATTATTACTTATATTAGGTTTGTGATTACCATTGCAAGATATTAGCAGTTGCAAGTCATGGTGGTCGTACACATGATGCTCGCGTATGGAGCTCATCTCGACTATGTACACACATGTTTAATGAATACGAACATGGAAGAAGAAATGTATGGTTAATAGGTAATGTCATTATTATATACAGTATGTTCCAAAAGTTTTGCAACCCTAAATATTTTGGAAAATATACGTATTTTCGAAAAAAATGCTTAATACAAAAGTTGCACAGTCTAAAAAGATGTATTTGACTTTGAAAAATGTAGTTGACTTTGTCCTGATCTTGATGACGCCATCCAAGGTATCCAACTAATAAAATCAGTAAATACTTTTTTAGACTCTACAATTTTTGTATTCAGCATGTTTTTCGAAAATACGTATTTTTCTAAATATTTAGGGGTTGCAAGACTTGTGGGACACACTGTATATTAATATATTTAAAAAAATGCTTTCAATATATATTTATAATTATTGAAAAAATGTAACTATTTAAAAACTAAATTTATTACTATTCACACAGTAATAAAATAATTATATTTTATTTCATAAAATAATACATTATGACTTTATAGTAATTTAATTTATAGTAATTTAAAATTTTTTCACTTATAAAAAAAATGGAATGACTCCCAGATGCACACAGTGACAGACGGACACATCTAATCATATGTTGTTATTTCTACAGACTCTAGAATGTCTTTGAGCACACGGCATTGTTGTTGGCTATGTCCGTTTCGCAATGTGTGCATCTGGGACACTCTCTAAAAAATGTATATATAAATATTTATTAATTATTACAAATGTAATGCAGCGGTGTAATTAATAGTTGTGTTATAAGTTAATATACAGGGGTGTATATCAGTTGGACACGGGGCAATTGGACACAGTCCAATCACAAGTCGCTGTTCCAAGGAACCCTACAAATGTCTCTAATCACACGGTGCTGTGATTGGCTGTGTCCAAATGCACCGTGTCCAAGTACACCGCTCCCCATGTCCGTGATGTAGGCCGCCGCCATATTTGGTGATCATTTCCGACTTTCATTCCTCTCACCCCCTGTGACTTCACTCCCCGCGAAATACGCTCCGTCCAGATATTTCTACGTCCATATTCGATAACCATGAATTACTTTGTGAACAATAACTGGAGTAAAATTCAGTATAGTAATCTGAACAACGCACGTATGCAAGGCTGTAAGTTAAAATTCGGCGGGATATGACATATAAAAAAAAATTTAAACAAGAATTACATATAACTTCGCAACTTTCTCGTGAATGTTTATTATCACAAGTATCCTCTTTGTATATGTTTTACACTATTACAACACCAAATTGTCCTGTCGTCATATTTGTCGGAATTACTCGTGTCACGTGTTCACATTTGAAAAGTGGCATAAAAATTCATTTATCGTCTTCATATTTTACATAAACTGTTAAACACATATTGTTTTTAGAGAAATTGTACACAACTAAAAACGGTAGTTATCCAGTTTAGCGACTTCACCTCCGATTTCGATGAAAGTAGGCTCAATCGATGTGTTTTTGTTAAAGAAACAACTTTTTCCTCTGACAAGATCATCACTCTTTACTGCAAAGCGAGAAATTAATTGTTAAAGATACTAGGTATGATAGGTTAAGAAACCCGTCATTGCAACCTAAAGTCTGTTAGAATTGCACTTACTGTATTAATGTAACACAGTGTGCAACAAGTTCATGAAAATACTTAAATTAAGAATATTTTTAATATATTAGACATTTTGTAACACGGGAAAGATATCGAACGACAAGCGCGGGCTGCGCCTCCCGCACCCCCCCAAAACTAACTTAACCCAACCTCTCGTCGTTCGAAATCTTTCCCGTGTTACAAATATGTCAAATATATTAAAAATATTTTTAATTTCAGTATTTTCATGAAATTGCTCCATACTGCGTTACACTAATACAGTAAGTGCAACTCTAACAGAATTTACGTTGCAATGACGGGTTTCTTAACTTATCATACCTAGCATCTTTAGCAATTAATTTCTCGTTTCGCAGTAGAGAGCGATGATTTTGTCAGAGGAAAAAATTGTTTCTTTAACAAAAACGCGTCGATTGAGCCTACTTTCATCGAAATCGGAGGTGAAGTCGCTAAACTGGATAAGTACCCACAAAATATTTCAGAATTATCCAAAATTTAGAAAGTTAGTTTAGAAAGTTCTGAACATTCTGAAATTCCTAACATTCTAGGGTATTTTGAGCATATTCAGAATAATTCCAGGATATTTTGTATTATACAAACAAAATTTTTAAATTTTATTTTACAATAATTTTAAAATAATGAAGAATTATATCCAAAAGTCACATCTAATTTATTAATTCTTTATGCTTTGGTGTCTTTATCAGATTTCTTGTTAAGAATTTTTATTAATAAAACGAATTCTGATATATTGTACACCAAACTCATAATAATGTGATAATTTCCTTTTTGTATCAGGTTCAACAGTGCATTTTATTTTTTATTGCACTGCACTGGGTCTTTGTTCTACATTACTGATACTTTCTTTATGGAATTTTAACATTGGCAGTAAGACTCTTCGCATTCATGTGTTACGCTTTGATAGACTACAACCTCTCTCACATATCACATCTGATAAGTTTCTATCATTTGGTCTTGATACATCTTTACTTAGAGAGATGAATGAATTGCCTCTTAAACACGAGAAATTTATTAATCTAGGCCAACACTTGAGTCCTGCTTATATCAGAATAGGTGGAACTTCTGCTGATTGCTTGATTTTTAATAAGCAGGTCAGTCTATGAATGCAAAGTTTTCTTTTTAATTATATAAAATAATTCTGTAGCCTATTATTTTAATCTTTAATTATATAAAATAATTCTGTAACCTATTATTTTATATCATTATGTATATGTGTATACAAGTTTTCTGATTACTCCATAATATAAAATGATCTTGTAAATTATTGTACCCAGACAGCACACAATATTTACAAAATACTTTATATAATATAGATATTAAATAATTTATAAATATATTCAAATGTCCAAGATTTTTAGGTATGAAAAAGATTATAATAAACATTTAAAAATATTTATAAAAAATATTTACCATAAATCTTTCATAAATAATAATCTTTTTCATGAAAGTATGTATAAAAGTATTTAAAAGTGATTTTCATAAATATTTTTAAAAATTATAATCCTTTTTATATCTAAAAATCTTGGATATTTGAATATTTATAAAATATTTATAATTTTAAAATATTTTGTAAATATTGTGTGCTGTCTGGGTAATGCAAGATTTTGATATACAACACAAAAGTACCATATAATTTAAAAGTTTCAATGTACTAATTTAACACATTCAATGATTTAGATGCAGCAAAGCTATTCCAAGAAAATTCTTAGCCCTGTGGATGGTCAAGATATTACTAATTTTACCATTTCTGGTATAGATTTGATAGCTATCTATGAATTTACCATGAAATCCAAGTTGCAAATGATTTTTGATTTGAATGTGTTGCTTAGAAATTCAGATGGATCATGGAATAATACTAACGCACAGGAAATTATCACATTTGCTAAAAATCATGATATGAAATTGGATTGGCAATTGGGAAATGGTAATTGTGACAAATGAAAAAATTAACACGTATAAAAAAATGGTTAAAAGTATATTATTGTAAACTATATAATATAAATTGTCAATGATAGAACCAAATTCCTTCAAACATGTGTTCAATGTGACTATTTCTGCAACTGAACTTGCGAAAGATTATGATTGTTTGAGACAATTACTGGATGAAGCAGGATATATCAGAAGCATCCTTGTCGGACCAGAAGTAAATCATGTCGGTGATACAGATCATATGGGAGAACAATATGCCAAGACATTTTTGGAAAGTCAAAAAAAAATTGTAAATTACGTTACTTGGCACCAGTATTATTTGAATGGACGTGAAGCTAAGATTCAAGATTTCGTGAATCCTGTCACGTTCAATTATTTACCGATGCAAATTAAAATCATGGAAGATTTCATCACCGCATCAAAGAAAAATGTTTCCATGTGGTTATGTATGTCTTGTATTAGAATCGGAAGGTTCTTTAAACAACCTTATTTTTTATTGCTCACTTTTCAGTAATGAAAGAACTGTTCCATTTACTTTTTTCAGTTTACAGTTTTATTAGTTATGATATAGAATTGTATATTTTCATATATAATACCTTACAATTATTATTTAATAATTCACTTTAGTAATATGCAAAAGTTGTAATTAATGTTGCCATAGCCAAAAGAAATATTGAAGCAATAATGGTTTAAGTTATTATTTGTATAATTTCTTTAGAACGACTTTTACGAAGTTTATATTAAACATATAAATATTGCATGAGATTAGTACACAAATTACATTTTATAAACAAATTTATTCACAGCAGAAACAAGTACCGCGTTTGGTGGAGGAGCACCCGAACTATCCGACAGATTTGTAGCCGGATTTCTATGGTTGGACAAATTGGGATATAGTGCTAGTACAGGATTGAATGTCGTTACTAGGCAATCGTTATTCGGCGGGAATTATGCTATGGTATCACCAGATCTCACACCAAATCCCGACTGGTGGATTAGCGTTGTTTACAAGCAATTAGTGTCAGAAAAAGTCCTAAAATTAGTGACGCCAAACAATTACGGTCACGTTCGTTTATATGCACATTGTACATCGCAACAAGCTTTGATTGATGGAGTGCCAGCCATCACAATTTATGGAATGAACATAGACAAAGTTGCGGTTCAAATAAATATTCCAATGTTGACCATACAGCCCAGCAAAATTTTGAAGATACTCTTTTACTCTTTAACTGCCGATCATCTTCAATCGAGGTGTGTAATAGTCGTTATCAAATAGAAATAAGCATTCACGTTTAAATTGCTAAATACGTCATTCCGAGAAAATGAAGAGAAAAGTATAACTCGTAATACATAAGATGTGTTAGCCTCGAGTAAAAAATAGCTACATGTAGTGTTAAATGTTTATTATGAATACCAATACTAAGTTATTACCTTATTGGTAATATGCATTTACATGAAATATCGTTTCATTTCGTAGTTATATTAAGTTAAATGACGAAATATTAAAGTTGCGACCCAACGGAAATCTACCGCAGTTTCGACCTAGGATACTGGAGCCTACGAATCCCATTATTCTGCCGCCATACTCAATGGTGTTTATGGTAATTCATGGCATTGAAGTTCCTGCCTGCTCGACTAAAATGTATTCTCAAATGCAATAAGCATTTAATATAGTTTTCCACTGTTACTTTAACAAATAATAAATTGCTAAAATAAACTATCATAATAAGAGTTACTCTATTATAATTAAGCTTCCTATAGTAATAATATTATCGTGTGTGTTGTTACTATAATTAGAAATGCCTCTTTTATTTTTTACGCAATAACGTTTATATCATATTTTTTTTACGAAATCAGACATCTATATTATAATATATATATATATATATATATATATATATATATATTAGGTGGTAAACTTAGTTCCTGCGGTTTTTTTGTTTAAAAAACTCATTTATTTCGACATCAAAAGTAAAAAATACATTAATCGAAGTATTTTCCCTCGCTAGCTATACATTTTTCCCATCTTTCGGGCAACGCGTAGATTCCGCGACGATAGAACGATTGGTCTTTTGATGCAATCCATTCGTCGATCCATTTTCGCACATCCTCGTAATTTCTGAA